AACGTAAAACACACAAAAGTTCTCCCACTAGGGCGAGGTATTTTGTACATCAAGCCTGCTGTTCAAATCAATAGTTTAAATTGTTCCCCCCCCCCACTCCATGCACACAAGTCTGTATGTTTAGAATTTCAACTAGTAAACAATAATCAAAGCAATCAGAGATTTCAAAACAATCTGGGCATAAAAAAAAAATCCCTCTGGTGGCACATCTATGTTCTAACATATTTTGCTTGCCTGTCGGGTGTGCTTATTTGTACACAGACTGCTGACTAAAATAATTAAGATTGGGATTTTCAAAAGAGCCTAAGGAATTTAGGTTCCCAACTCCCATTGTATTTTAAAACTCCCTTAGCTTCTTTGAAAATACCAACCTAAATATTTAAAACTTTTTCCATGAATTGGGATACATAATATAAACTATAAAAATGCAATACTGTTTGAATACATCATTGTCTCATCTAGCACTTTTCATCAGTAGATCTCAAAGCACTTTTCATCAGTAGATCTCAAAGCACTTTCCAAAGAAATCCTTATCACCATTTTACAGATGGGGAAACCGAGGCATGGAGTGGTCACCTAACACACCAGAGGCCAAGTCAGGAACAGAACCCACGTTTTCTGAGTCCCAATCCATTCTCTATCCACTGCCTGCTATACTTCCCCCGGCCCCCTATTATTTTGATTGTTTCCTCAGTGAGACCAAGGTAGGTGAGATGAGGTATTTTATTGGACCAACTTATATTGGTGGAATGGGCAACACTGCAAGCTACACAGAGCTCTTCTTCAGGACTGGAAAAGGTAACCAAAGTATCCAAGCTAAATAGAAGGTGGGACAGATTGTTAAGCATAAGGGGATCTACACATGCTGTAGGAGGCCACTTAAAATGAAGTGGGCAATTAAGGGTTAGCAGGTAGTAGGGCATGTTAGAGTGTTGTAATGAGCTATAAACCTGTCTCTGTTAAGTCCATGATTTTTAATGTCCAGTAGCGTAATGAATTTAAGTTTTGCTTAATTTAAGGCTCATCATTTGAAGGCATTGTGTAGGTTTCCTTTGAAGGTGAGAACTGAGAGGTTAGATATGGGGCGATCACTTCATGAAAATGGTTTGCCCACAGGTGATAGGATGTATTTTTTCCATGAGTTCATTCGAGAGCACAGTGATTGTCTATCTTCACCCACAGAGTTGTTGTGGCTTTTGATGTACTGGATGAGATACACCAGATGTTCTGATAGGCAAGTGTAGGACTCATGGATGATGAAAAGTGTGTTGGGGGTGGGGGGGAAGAGTACTGATCAACATAGCAGTATTGATACGTCTGCATGTTTTGCATCTGTTGTTCCGGCACCACTTTGAGTCACTGTGTCCTGATCTGTGGAGAACTTGCAAGGTTGGGAGACGGAAGTTGTTTGAAGGCAGAAATGGTGGTGGTGGTGGTGGGGGGGGGGAGTTAAGAAAGATTTCTTTCAGGATGTGGTCACCATCAAGTATGGGTTGTTTAACTGCATAATGATACCCTGAAAGGGTTCTAGCATGGGGTGGAAGGAGACAACTAGGGGAGTGCAATCAATGGGATTATTTTTTCTGTATTAAAGCAGGTTCCTGCGGGGGTGTTTGGGTGGTCCATTCCATGATGAGATCTACTTCCATGGTGGAGTACTCTTGTTTAGTGAAAGAAGTTTTAAGTGTCTATCCCAGACTTTCACTTCACTTTCCCAGTTCTGATCCTTGGTTGTGTTTGCTTTCACTTACTGTTAGAAAAGTAAAGAAGAAGAAAAAGAAAGTTTGCAGGGAAAACAGCACTTAGTAATCATTTACCTTCATTTTTCAAACTACCCTTGCTCCCCAAAAATAGGAGCCAGAGTGGGGTTCTACTATCTGTTCTACTTGCCGCCTAGACAACTGTCTAACAAAACGTTAAAAACAGTCCTAACTATAGATAGGCAATAGTTACATTGCTAGCTCTTTGGGGCAGGAACTGTCTTTTTGTTCTGTGTTTGCACAGTATCTAGAACAATCTAGGTCCTGGTCCAATGAAGCTCCCAGCTGCTATCACAATACAGATAATAATAAAAAAACAATTAGAAGTAAAAAACTGCTAACGGGTTCATTTCTGAATTAGTAATAATTATAGTAACACCTTTCATCCTGAAGGATCCCAGAGCATTTTATAGTCTATGTGTACAAGGATCACTTTACTCACCCTTTGGTTTAAATGCAGTATCCATTTACCAGCACACAGTAATGACACAAAACCACATAGGACACTAAGCAAAAATTGTATATCCAGTGGTAACTACAGGGGAAACTTGAGTGTGAAGAATGTCATTACCCAAGTTGGAGTTTGGTCCAAACACTAAGGCCTTAATCTCTACTCTTATAAAAAGTTCCATATGATCTGTAGGTTCCAATCCTGTAAACACTTGGGCATGTTGATAATTTTAATCATATGCACGTTTGGATAATTGAAGATTGAGTGACCACACGCAATCGGGGTCTCTGTTTTGTCTCTCATTGAATCACTAAAAGACAGAACCCCAAACAGTTCAATGTTCTTCTACAATTGAGCATTAGATCAGTACTGGTGATCAAATTAGGCAGCAGTTGTTATATATCACAGAACAGAAGTTCTTAAAGCTGGAGGCAAGCAAGCACAGCCAAATATTGCAAGAAAATCAAAGCAGAAGAGTTGAGCAATCTGTTTCCCCCCCATTCTCTTCACTGGCATTCTCTTGTGGACAGCTACGAAGCCCTACTTTTTTCACACTGTATCTAGCCATCCTCAGCTACCCAGGCCAGTCCCCAACTTTAATTTTTGGTGCCTTTTTAAAGAAAATTTTATGCTGTATTTTGCAGCTCCATATAATATATTCTACACTTGTTTAATTTAAAGGCATGTGTTTATTTATCTTGGTGTGGGGATAAATTGATACTACTGCCAAAAATGATAGTAAATGTTGCCTCTTACAGTGCCTAGAATTCAATTAATCTTCCTGCATTTAAAAATCCAAAACAGAGAT